ACACAGTCCCAGCTGCCTCCCTGGGGTGGGGGGGGAGGGGCCATGGCTCCCCGTGGGTGGGGGGAGGTTGTGGTCCTGCCCACACACCGGGCACAGGTGCCCACCACCGTCTGCCTGGTCTTTTCTCTCCTCCTGGGCAGACTGGCTAGTTCTGCGCTGATTTGTTTCTACATTTTTGGGTCAGTTTCTGAGAATACCATGAGTTATTTGACCTTTCTGGATTTCTCTTGTCAGAAAAATGCTCATGTATACAAAATCCTGTATGTAAATTCGGGATTTCCTTGGGACCCTTGCCCTCAGAACCTCCTTGGGTGTCTCTCTCCCCATACAGGAACCGTGAAATCTGGCTCAGAAGTTGGGTTTCCATTTTTCTCTTTCCCCCTCTCCGTCGAGGGCACGCACGGAAAATTAAACCTTCGATTTATCTTCTGCGCCCCTTTCTCTGTCCACCGTTGTCTTTCAGAGGTCGGCAGGAACGTGTGACACGCTCAGGTGACAGAAGAGAGGTTAGTGAAGATGCCCCGGGGGTTAAGCAGGAGGAGACCCCCTGACGTAACAGAGTTCAGACGTTAGAGGACCACGGGCGGGTGACTGGCAGTGACAGGAGTGTGCGTCTCCCAGCTCTGGGGGCTGGGAGCCCGAGATCAAGGTGGGGCAGACCTGGCCGCCGGTGGGGGTCACCTCCCGTCGCAGCTGCGGCCGGCTCCCTGTGCCCCCGCGGCTGGGGGGTGAGGGAGCTCCCTGGCGTGTCTTTCATAAGGGCACTAATCCCATTCATGGGGGCTCCACCCTCGTGACCTAGTCGCCTCCCGAAGGCCCCACCTCCGAACACCTCAGATTGGGGGTTAGGTTTCAGCCTGTTCAGTCTGTAGAGCTACGGATGGAAGGAGAGGGTTGGCTGAGTAAAGCTGGGGCTTGTGGTGTGACCCCCAGGGGACCCTGCAGGGAGGAAGCTGGGGGTCCATGCTCCCCCTTCTTTACTTCCCTCTTATCTCCTGGCTTCGACTGTACCTCCCAGGCGGCCAGCGGGCAAGGCAGCCTGGCTGGCGCAGGCCACAGAGGGCCTCCTCCCGGGGCACAGATCCCGGGACGGGATGGGAAGCAGCCTGACGGCTCCTGGAGAATATTCCGCACTCGGCGCCTCGGGGTCTGAGATCACTGTTGTCCAGGAGGTGGTGCTGTGGAGCGAGCGAGGGGGCAGCCTTGCTCCCCGGCCGCCTCGGGGAGCGGGCGTCGCGGGGACACTGCGTAGTGGGTGCCGCGGGGGTTTTGTAGTCCTGCTTGTGATCGGAGGCCTCCTGTTTTTTTCAGATGCTTTTAAATCCGGTCTTTTAGTTTTTTTCTGATCTGTTTGCTTGCCCGTCATTCTGAGGCCATTGGCGGCTGGCGCTCATTAAGTAGCCCTGCCTCAATTCCCGCGTNGCTTGTGATCGGAGGCCTCCTGTTTTTTTCAGATGCTTTTAAATCCGGTCTTTTAGTTTTTTTCTGATCTGTTTGCTTGCCCGTCATTCTGAGGCCATTGGCGGCTGGCGCTCATTGTTAAGTAGCCCTGCCTCAATTCCCGCGGGAAGTCTCATTTACGGTTGCTCAGTAATCTCACTTCTGCCTTTCCTGGAAACCTAAACAAATAAAGTCTTAAATTTTAGCCATCCCGATGAAAATAATTTTAGGCAGCACCTGTATTGCCCTTCTTGCTTCATTTAACAGGATTCCCAGCCTGGCTGAACCCGTGCGGTGGACTCTGGGGTGTGGTTAACGTAGGAGGTTGTGCTGGGGCGATGCCCCCAGCGGTCGAGTCTGTGCCCTGGTCTTCGTTCCACCAGTGCCTGCATCTCTCTGTCCTAACTCCGAGTCCCGTGTTTCTTCCCTCTGCTGTGGGCTCTCGCTGATGACTTGACACAGTTTTATAAGTGACGTGCTTTTTCTTTCGTGGATAAAGCACACGGGCCTCCTGAGGGCTGTTTGTCACTCAGAAGTCTCTCTTCTTCATTCCCAGGTTGATGGCCGCGTTCCAGGTGTTAACGTCAGCAGACGCCTGACCTCCGCATGGTGAGTGATTTACCTGCACGCGTGCCCTGGGTGCTCTGAAGGACTTTCTGGGGGCATCGGGGTTTATAGTTCGTTTGCTTTTTAATCCAGTTGTTTGTCTCGTAGCCCTAGACCTGTGCCTGGTGGGTGTTGCTTTTCATTCCTATTTCTTTGCATCACTTTGTTCAGGGGTGTGTTTGAAAACAGCAGACGTCTACAGGATCCCAACAACCGCAGCCCATCTGCTTGAGGAAGGGTTTTAGGGAGAGGATGTGAACAGAAAATCAGGCTTCTTTACAAATATTTTAATCTGACTCTGAAAAGATGGGGTTTATTTTTTAAACAGCACAATACTAGTGTCACGTGTAAAAATGAACAGTAATTTCTTAGTATCACTAAATATTCATGTTCAGATTCCCATGATTGTCTGAAATGTTTTTTTCACAGTTTGTTAAAAATACTGCCGGGTGATCAAAGGATTTAAACAGAGTCCGTACACTGTACCTGGTGACATGTCCCCATCCCTGTTAGTGGGCAGGCGCCTCTTCCCTCTTGTTCTCGGGGTGCGTGGGTCAGGAAGCCGGGCCTTTGGCCCTGTGGAGTCCCCACAACGCAGGTTTGCTGCCAACATCCTTGTGTGATTTACCACGTTTCATTGTCCCCCAAATTTCCCGTCAACGAAAGGCTGGATCAGAGTCAGGTTCCGCTTGTTGGTAAAAAGTATTTCATGCATGACGGTGTGACTTCATCAGGTGACACCTTCCGGCTCTTCTTCCATTGTGGAGATGGACAGAGGCTGTTGATCCAGTTGCCCTGTTAGGGTCCCTGCTGTTTCCCCCTGGTCGTTTCAGCAGCCGTCGGCGAGTTCATTCTTCCGCATGTCAGACACGTCGCCCTTAGACTGGAGAGAAAATGGAACCGAACGTGGTGAGTTCACCGTACAGGTGGTGCCGATTCACAGGGTAGATCAACCCCCGAGCTCAGTACCGGGGAGCCCGACGGGCTCCATCCCCTCCCGCAGACGGCGTGGGTCCTCGGTGCAAACACACAGCCGATGGCCGGGTCACCTTTCCAGCCGGCATCTCATGCTGAGGTTTTCAGAGTATGTGGACTTGCCTGTTTCCCCTGAACGAAACTCAGCTTAGTTTATGTAAGCGATTTCTTTGCTCTTCGGGCTTGTATTATGTGCTCCATGGTTATGGGTGGCTGTGGAATTCTTTATTTAAAAAAAAATTAAAATAGATTTAAACTACAAGCGCTTGTCTTTCTTAATTGCATCTTAATGCAATAAAAACCAGAGTGTAATTATTAAAAATGATAAGAGAGCAGAATTAAGACAATAAAATTGCTTAGCAGAGATCCTGGTTCCTAATGTATTTGGAAATAATTGGTGTTGTAATGAGTAATTAACACTCTTTCTTTGAGGTGTGGAGCTGAAGCGTGGCCTGGCTGGGGCCCCAAGGTGCCTGATGGCTGAATGGGGTCCTGGGCAGCACTTCTGAATCTGCACAGAGCGGAGCGTCCTTCCCCTGTGCTGTTAGTTGCCTTTTTGTGTGTGTGATAGGGAGAGACACTAACCGAGGGGCCAGGGCGGAGGGCCCTCTGCTGCTGACCAGACACCCCCTCTCGCCCCAGGTGGGTCAGGGAAGGAGGGCTGTGGCTTTAGTTCAGACCACAGGGGCATTTCCTGGGAGGTGGAGACCAGGTGGAGGACCTTTCTCGCCCAGGTGTCAGGTTGGCCTGGGGCTTATGCTTGGGACTGGCTGAGAAGCCCCCTGGGCTTGTTTTCTAGACCCAGCCCCTACTCTGTCCCCGTGGGTCTTACTGCCGAGATGGCCAGGAATGACCAGTCCAAGGAGACACACCACCAGGAGAAAGGGGGAGGGGGTGGACGCCAAGGCCCAGAGCCCCAGCCTCAGTTTCCCCATGCCCACCTGGGCACCGGTTGGCTCCCTGAGGATCGGGAGAACCAGGACACGCGGGCTCCTAAGTTGAAGTCCTGGGAGAGCACGTTCCGGGAAGACCTGAGCTCCTGTCCACTGCTCCTTTGGTTCCAGAGCTCCTGGCCCGTGACCACCACGTTCTGTCTCTGGGAGAGGTGCTGGTGGTGGTGGGTGCTGTTTACCCCCCTGGTGCTGGGCACCCACCCGAGCCCAGCCTGGTGGGAGTCAGCCCCGCGTGGCTGTGCGGAGGCTGTTGTGAAGTCGCCCTCGAGAGTGCTTCCCGTGGGAGAGAGTCACGGGGGTGGGGTGGCACCACCCAGGACACTAATTTGAAAGAAGCGACTGCTGCTCATAAATTTGGGGCCTCTTCTTCGGAAACAGCTTTTAGAGTCTGGGGCGTATTCTTTGAAATGTCTTCGTCAGTGGCAGATCTTTCTCCTTTTGGGTGTTTTTGATTTTCGGTGAAATCTGAACGCAGTTGCCCCTCAGTTGGTTTTCGGCTTTCGTTTTTGTCCACGGAGTAGTTGGAGGGCTCTGGATGGCCCGAATGGGGGCCCCCGTCCCTCTGCTCAGAGCTCCTGCGGATCCTGCCAGCACAGGTTGGGAAACCTGGCGTCCTGCCGGCGGATGGCCTCAAGGGGTGTGCCCGCCCCTCTCACCTCAGCTCCTCTTAGCCAGGGCACCCCCACACCTCGGTGGGACTGGCCCGCATGTGCACACATGCACACGTACACGCAGGCCACGTGCACACGTACAGGCGTCTGGGGTTGGCCTCACCGTCTAGCCTTTCCCCACGGGCAGGTGGCTTCGCTCCCGCATTTGTTTCGTTGGCTCAGAGCTGTCTGCCCTCCAGGAGCACCCCCCGCGCCCACTCCAGCCCCTGCAGCCCCCACCCCCTCTCCCAGCCCTGTGGGGGCTCCTCTCTCTGTCCCCCACTTGCACCTGCTCCCCCCCGCTGCTCGTGGGAATCGTCAAGGTCGCTTGCATTAGTTAGCCGTGTACAGACTTGGCCAACTTCCTCTGTACGCAGTCTTTTTTTTTTACTAAGTAATGTTGGTGAATTATCTGAATTGGAAAGTTCACGGGAGAAATACGAGAGTGAGGCATGCTGTTTGGCAGACTGAGTCCCCCGCACGCCTGTCCCTTCGCGGGCTCTGCCCGGGGTTGGGCACCCAGGTGTCAGCGGCGTGATGGATGGCCAGCGCCAGTGTCCGCGGCCTGCGGGCTGGCCGCCTGCTACCCAGGGCCTGACGTGCGGTCACCTAGAGCCACGAATCTCTGTGGTTCGATGCAGGTGGCGAGCCCGGCCTGGCCGTGGGGCCTCGGCCCTGCCCGTCCTTCATTTTACAGACGAGAACCTGAGGCCCAGGAGTCGAGGCGTTTGCTCCACATGAGGCCTTACTGCCACCGACTGTCACGTGAGCCTGTGACGCTGGGTTCGCAGCCCTGTGCTGGGGGACATTTCCCACGGGCACAGTGCCCACTTGTTGCGCGTGTTACGCGCCGTTGAGTCGGCTCTGACTCCCGGCGACCCCGCGCGTGAGTGACGGCCACCGCGTCCGGTCCCCACAGCCCTGCGCCGCCCGCGGACTCAGCCCCTGGCAGCGCCTGGCGCGTCCGTCCGTCTCGTGTGGGTCTCCCCCCGCCGCCTCTGTTTCCCCAGCATCACTGCCTTTTCCAAAGAGCCCGCTCACTCAGGATGTGTCCCAAGTAGGACGGCTTCGCTTTTGTCACTTTTGCCTCCGGCGCCGTCTCAGCCTTCGTTTGCTCCGGGACCCCCTGCTTGGCCTGTGCGGTGGTCCCGGGCGCCGGTCCCGGAGCTGTCCTCCAGCGGCACGTGTCAGATGGGCCAGCGTTTCCCTCCCAGCCTCTTCGCCGCCCAGCCTCCCATCTGTCGGGGAGATGGGGGGGCCTCAGCTGAGGTTCCTAATGACACGCCCGTGCTCTGGGCCATCCCCTCGCTCCCAGGGCCGCCCGCCCCAGCTCAGGCGTCTTTTGGTTTCGGGTCTTCAGTCTCCGTGTGAGGGGATCACTGGGCCGAGGTAACAGAAGCGGTAGGTGCGTTTGTGCCTCTTATTGTTACGGTTATTGTCGTCTATTTGCTATGGTTAATATTTAATGGCAGGCGCCAGTTAATTTGGATATTGGGTCATTAATTATCTCAGGTCCCGGTAAATAGTCCGGCCTCACTTCCCTCAAGCTGACGAGTTTCGCTTGGCGCCTGTGAGGAAAGCGAACGCGGGGTTTGTGTTGTAGCCGTTGGTCATCTCTCCGGGTTCTTTCCCCCGCACATCCCCGAGCGCGCGCGGTTCATCAGCCGGGGCCCTTAAGCTCTAAAACGGTCGCCCCGCCAGCGATCTTTCACTGCGACCTTTCGCCTCTGTTGAAATGTGACGCAATAAGGACGTTAGGAGAAACCTGCCTTTAGTCACTTATTTTTGAGCCGGGGGCTGTGCTCCCCACTGTTTCCCGGGGCGGCTGCCGGCTGCCGCGGCCCTGCCTTTGGGACAGGCCCGTCCTCAAGAGAGTGCGCCTCGGCTGGCGACGGCTGGCCTAACTCCGTGGGGTCCCGCTGCTGGGAGCTAACGAGATTAGAGTAGATTTTGGTGAAATTTTTCACGTCATAGAATCTCATCAGTTTCCAGCCTCCTGGCTGCTTTAAGTCGAGGCCACGCGGGGAGGGTCCAGGGGTGAAGGTTCACAGGCGGCGGCTTCTCCTTGGCTTTGGGGGGCCGCGCTCCCCGAGGTCAGGTTCTGTGGGGCGTGTTCTAAGTGACGTGGTGGAAGGCAGCTGAGGCTGGCGTTTATGTCGCGTCGCCGTCGGGCTCACGCTGCCCCCGGCGAGGCCCGGGTCCTGGTCGGTATCGGTCTGCCAGAGGGCAGGGTGCTGTTAGCTTACCCGAGAATGAGAACTTGGGAAACCGTAGCAGTTCAGGGCTCACTGTAGAAGCCATGGCTATAAAATACGATTCTTTTTTTGGCTCCACACAAGCATATTAGAAATCATCCTTTGAAAGTGGAGAGAGAGCCGCAACGTGGGCCACGAGAGCCTGAGATCTGGGGGTTTTGTGCCAGCGGCGGCGGTGGGTCAGGGGAGGTTTCTTACTTCAGGGCATTTAAACTGCGGGGCCCCTTAGAAGCTGATCAAAGTTAGGGTCCTCTGCCCAGAAAAATGCATGCACTCGCTGCACAACTTTTTGTGTACAGTTTGAGAGGTTCACGGGTTCCCCTAGAGTTTATTTTTGTCACATGCACTTCAGTTTTTGTTTTTGTTTTTTTAATACATCTTTATTGATTTCAGAGAGAGAAAAGGAGAGGGAGAGACATAGAAACATCAATGGTGAGAGTCATTGATCGGCTGCCTCCTGCACGCCCCCAACTGGGGATCGAGCCCGCAACCCGGGCCTGTGCCCTGACCGGGAATCGAACCCCGATCGCCTGGATCCTAGGTCGGTGCTCAACCACTGAGCCATGCCCGGCCGGGCAACACTTCAGTTTTTTAATTAAAAATTTTTTTTGTTAATTCTCACCCAAGGATATTTTTTCCATTGATTTTTTTTTAGAGAGAGTGGAAGGGAGGGACGGGGGGGGGCGGGGAGAGAAACAATGACAGAGACACACATTGATTTTTTGTCTCCTGCATGTGCCCTGAGTGGGGCCCGGGATCGAGCCTGCAACCAAGGTATGTGCCCTTGACTGGGAATTGAACCCATGACCGTTTGGTGTGCAGGCCAACGCTCTAACCACTGAGCAACACTGGCCAGGGCAAGTTAGGACCTTTCTTGATTGCGCTTCCAGGTCTGGTGTTGACGAACCGATGTCTGATGCAGTGTGAACTTACTCTCATAAATTAGGAGCATTCAGTAAACTGCATAGGACCCTTTAAATAAAATTCAGTATTAAATAAACTATGCTTTTCATTAAAAAAATTAAAAATCCAGGTAGATTTGCAAGGCTGGGAGAGGAAGCCTGAAGCAGGAGCGT